CCTAATATCTTTCTTGGTGATCCCCTTGCCGTGGGAACTTCCGGTGTCTGCGATGTGAGTCAGGTAGCTGGTCAAGGCTAGCGGAATTGGGACGGTAGTCTAGATTGAGAGAGGGACGCTATATAATACGGGGAGTACATCCTCGCTAATAAGACATAACATTCATCCACTTTAGAGACTCAAATATAGAATATCTAGCTGACCCTTTGCATGGCCTTCCTCTCCTCCTAAATCAACACAGCTAAATAGTTGCTTAGTCATCCGCGTCGCGTCCGCGAAACTTCAACATCCAACACGAAAAAGAAAAGCGACGACGACGACGACGACGACGAGGAGAATCAAGAAGAACAACAAGCAGACCAGGCGAACGAGCATCCAGGGACGTCAAGTCGACAAGTCTTCTGCCATACTCGAGTCCGCGCAGCTCCGACTTTACCCAGACCCCATCTCCATGAGGCACTCCGCGCCCTAGTCGTAAAGCCATCGCACCGAATCCACTTCATACATAACAGCCCAGCCCCCAGAATTAATTCCGGCCGTTTAGCACTTAATTCCCAGCTCGAGACACGAACAAGCCCAGGAACCACGGGCACATCATGGCCTCCTCTTCACATCCTTCATTTGCTCCTCGCTCCGTATATGCCAACGCAGGAAAGCTCTCAGACAGACCACTCAACACCAACAACCCTCTGCCGTTTGGGTCCTCGGTGCTATCTCGGCGTGATCGCGGCGACTTTGGAGACACAGCTGGCAAATCCCAGGGCCTTCAGGCAGGCGCACCTCCAGCACACTCGCAGATCCAGGGACAAGGCCAGCTTCAAGGAGGCGGCGTGATGGGGGGCGTTGGACCGAATGCCGGAAATAACAACGTTAACAATAACGTGAATAACCCATTAAACGACCTTTCCGAGGAGCAGCGGGAGGAAATCAACGAGGCGGTAAGTTATCTCACCCGGACCAGCTAGTCAGGGCCTACTCTTGCTAACGTGCTACAGTTCACTCTCTTCGACCTCGACCGGGACCGTCACCTCGACTACCATGAGCTCCGTGTTGCGTTCCGCGCACTTGGCTTCACGCTATCAAAGCCAGACCTTATCTCTCTCCTAACAACATACGGTGTACCTCGAACACCCAGCCCGGCCCAGCAACAGCAACAGTCAAGACAGCAGCAGCCTCCACCGCATCCCTCGTCACTATTAATGCCCCTCTCTTCATTCCAGACTATAACGGCCCGTAAGATACTAGAACGAGACCCTCGAGAGGAGATATTACGAGCTTTTGAGCTATTCGATGAAGGAGGGAAAGGGTATATTGACCTCGAGGACTTGAGGCGCGTGGCTCGTGAGTTGGGCGAGACAGGCCTGGAAGAGGACGAACTTAGAGCTATGATTGAAGAATTCGATTTGGAGGGTGTTGGCGGTGTGACCAGGGAAGGCTTCGTTGGTATATGTTTACAGTGATATTTTGGTAGAGGTGTTTTTTTTTGTTGCCGTTGTCAATGTTGCTATCTTCCGTTTTTGGTTGTCTTTTTGTTCTGCTTTTACGTTATGGCGCAGGGGGGAAAAGCCGGTTCGAATTATAGTTTTGTTCGTGCATGGAGTTGGATCTCTATGGACAGTATATGTAGCTGATGCAAAGGTGACACTCGTTGTGCCTTGTAGCAAATGCCTAATATTTTCTTGTCTAACTTATTTATAGCTGTGTATGAAAGGTCAAAGTATGATATTGGTAAATCAGCTGTATATACGGAGGTGATTTCTTCCCTCGTTGAATGTACATTCACTGCGAAAGTAAACGATGAATCCTCCGCTGAACGCCGATTGTAAGTGTGATCGTTAATCATCAGATGGGATCAGGATGCTAGGAAGAAATCAATATAAGTGACCAGGTTGCAGAGATATGCTCTCGACACTTTGGCACCTATATGAACATCTTCCGCTAACGATCACTCACGCCCATGCATTCTAAAACAAGAGGGGAACGGAGAAAGGAATAAAAAAAAAAAAAATGCTGTATAAAACATAGGCAGAAGCAAGAAGTGGATGAAGAAGATGGCTAAATCACGGGTATATTCTTAAGCATATCGTGTCGGTGGCATATGTCCTGGATATGCAGGTGGAGGAGCATTGATAGGCGGAGGAATGTTGTTATATGGAGGGTGACCGCCCGGCGACGATTGCTGAGCATTCGGAGGGGCCCCATTCCATCCGTTGTAAGCTGGAGCCATCGGGCGCATGTTGATTGGCGGCATCTTCCTGTTTCTAGGTCTCTGTCTTCTAGATCGTCCACAGATACAGGAAGCGATGGCTAGGAGAAGTAGACAGCCTGCACCGACTGCTACGCCGATGACAATGGGTTTATGGCGGCTGACCCAATCAGATACCTCGTTGCCGAATGTGCTGCCGCTACATTGGCCCTGTAACACAGTTAGTACGCATGTTTAGGTATAACTTGAAGATATATAGGGGAAATAGAACTACTTACGTTCTTGCATGTGCCACCCCCTCCACAAGGGGTGCCGTCGAGGAAAGTGAGGCTACCTTCGTACCGCACATTGGGTCTATCTGGATCTTTGCAAGCTACCTCGCAGCCATAAGAATCAAAAGCCACTGTCCTGGAGCCAGCAACTTGGTTGCCTAGATGCATTTGGCACTGTAAATCTCGGCTGGTGCATTGGCCACTGGCACACTGCAAATCGGTGCCGCATGTCCCTCCATCCTTGGAATGTATATCATGGGGACAATCACCGGAATTTCCGGAACATTTTTCTTCGGGATCACAGGGACCGCTGCTTGTGCGGCAGATGGTCGAGCTGGACGCAAACTTGCACCCTTTACAGCATTCTTCGTTCGCGTCATCGCACTGAGACCCGGAAGTATATTTGCAGGTCTTGGGATCACAACAAGTGTTGCCTTTGCAGCTCTCTTCGTCACCACAGTCACAGTCTTCACCATCTTCGACAATGCCATTGCCGCACTGCTGGCCTGAGATAGTATCAACACCGCGGTTTGTGGTTAGGCAGTTGGTTAGGATGGTACGTCTTGCCATTCGGGAGCATATCTGGCCTATTGAACAGGGAGAGAAGTTGGTGATCTGGCTTCCAGATGTTGGGTTCATCATGAACCTGCCGCGTGCATCACACGTGGATGCAGTTGCAGGGCAGCATCTGGAGTTGTCTGGATTCGCCGGATTCTGGCAGAGCATACTATCACAGTCATGGACTGCTCCGAATATGTGGCCAGCTTCGTGGCTATTGACAAGTTAGCGTATACAGTATTAATACGGAAGATAGGCATCTACTTACGCAAAGACTTGCCAGGTGTTATCCGTCTTGGAGACGACGTTAGCACCAGCTACAGCCTGAGAACTGGAGTTTCGACTATCTGGGTTTCCCTGAACACCCTTGACGCATAGCTGGGCAGCCCACGCTAGCCCAACTTGATTCTCAGTAGTGCAGTCCGTCATCAGAGTCCAGAATGCAAAGTCATCCGTCTTCTTTCCACGCCAGGCAGAGAATGTATTTAGTCTGTCTGCTAGAGTAAAGGAGCCGCCACCAGCACGGTCATCACACTGCTGGTTGAAGGGAGTTGCGGACGATGCGGTTGCTGGGCAGTTCTTGGGCAAGATGTTGATTTCTCCGAGAGTAAGGGATATGTTAAATGAATGCTCGTACACAACGGAGGCAGCATTAACGACTGAGATGATGTCGGCTCTCGCATCCATCTCCGAGGCAAATGTGTTGGTATATGTGCAGTCCGCAACCACACCTATCAAGGCAACTTTTCGGGTATTGGGGCAGCCGCTTGTACTTCCAATGGTTTCCTTTAGATCTCGAGATCCAGGGACGACACCGCCTGTGTCAGTCATCTGGCGTTTCCCTATGCTGGTCATGAAATAGTTCCATATACTAGTGTTGTTTTCCTCCGGCAGAGGAGGGAACATAAAGTTGGAATTAGAGTCGTATGCGAGAGTATCTGCATCGCAAGAGGGCGAAGACATGATCGAACGCTCGACGTTCCCCGTGCTTTGGGTCTGTGCTATATCTGACCCTCGGAAAAGAAGCATATATTCGCCAGGGGTGTTGTCCAAGGGCGGATCCTGCTGGTGCCGTTTGCGTACATATTTCGACTTTGCGATGACCTGGTGATGGTCATGCATGACGGTAAAGACGCCTTCGAACAGAGGATCCTCTCCGTCTCTGTGCATAATGATTCGAGCCCATCCAACCCGCTCCCAGACCCCTGATTTTGCTTGTGTCCAGGCCCATCCTTTAAACACACTGTGATCCCTCCGTTCTATCCGTTCTATCCGGTCAACATTCCCCTCTGTGTCAAGAAAAGTCACTCGCGCATTGTGGGAGAGAACATCATGATTCGGTTCCAGTTGAAGTTTTATCCGGTTTCTCCTGGGATAAAGATCGAAAGTGAGGTCGAAATGCGAATGGGCATGAACACGGCGAGATGGCGTATGTATGACTGGCCGCTCAACACGGGAGATATTGTTCAGTTTGTCTCTTGCATGAGACCGAGCTGCGTGCAACTACCAGTCAGCAGTGTTTCCATCAAGAGGGGGGGGGAGGGAGAAAAAGAGACAAAGGGAATCAGTACCATCAACATGCTGAAAGAGCGAGGCTGCCGTAGCTATCACAGCAAGCAGACAGCTAAAAGCTTTCATTCCCAACCGCTATCGAGACTCAGGGCCTCTTGCTCATGTATTGTTTATGCGTTATACCGGCCTGCTCAACGAGTGCGAAGGAATTAAGAAAGAAAGAAATAAATAAAAATTAAAATAAATAAATATTGGTCTCTGATAACTCCGGAGATGATGACGCGTTAGTCCTAATAATAGCGAGATCGTGATATAGGACCAGCGGCAGAGAAAGATGCAGATGGAAGATGGTACTCCGTTTGTACCCCTTGGTGAGAACGGACGATGTTGCGGTAGAAGTACTCCGTAGGGCGTCTCCCCCCCAAGGTCGGCGAGCGAGCGGCAGCGACAGGATGAGGAATATGACAAGAAGGAGAATAAGAAGACGTCCCTCGTTCAGCCGCCCATCAGCCCCAGAGCCAGCAGCAGCCAAGTTGTCAAGACGCGCAAACGAGCTGTTGGTTGATGGATGTCTGGCCGTCCGTTTGCCTGGCGATGACGAAGAAAAAGAAGCGCTGACAGAACAAGAGCAAGCCCCCAGCCTCCTCCGGACGAGCCCGACCAAGACAAGAGCTCGACGAGACACGAGACAAGAAGAAGCCGACGGCTGCGAGCGAACGACGAGGCAGGCCGGGTGTTCGATGGTTGACGGTGTTCCTGGTAGCGATGGAATCACTGAGGCGCAGCTCGCTCTCTTCTGCCCTGGACCCTCCAGTGAGATGCGCGTCCTCCTCCTTCTGATGTGGCACCGCATGGCGTCCACACCCTCCTCTCTTGCTCTCCTGCTCTCTCATGCACAAGAAAAGACGACGGCTAAAAAGCAATTATGCGGGCTTTGGACGCTGAATCGATTATTGTCAACATGCGAGACGGACACCCGACGGCGGTGCTTGTGCTGGAGATACACAGATAATGCTTGCTTGCATGCCATGACATGCCATGACGGTGGCTGGTGTTGGTTGTTGACTGATGCCGGCTGGTCAAGCCCGGGTTCCTGGACCAGCGACCAGCATCTCGCCTGCGTCTTACATCCTGGCTGGCGGTTCAGCCTAGCTAACTAACCACAGACGAGACGAGAGGACGAAGAATCAAAAGCCCGCCGTTGAGGCTCAGAGGGAGGGTTTGGTTACGAGGATTCCAGCGCAGTCAGTTCACGGCGGCCAGCCTTGTTCTTCGCTAACTAACTAATTGACGGACGAAAGGCTGGCTAGAGACATAGTATTAAGCCTCGCCTCTTCTCTCTTGGCTGTCGTGACGGTGTTTTCTAACCGATATCGAGTCTACGGCGCTGGTTATACGCATGGCTTGTTCCAGTTGGTAGCCACCGTATATCAAAGCGGATGGCACATAGACGGACCATGCAAGTTTGTATTTACAGGGACCACTGAGAAAAGAGCTGATAGAGCCTTGGGATTCATCAATGCCGTGTTTCAACGGTATATTTAATTCAGGTCAAAAAATATGGCCCAGAGAAGAAGATATTGTTGAAATGAGACAGACTTGTATTGCCGGCTCTTTGAACCATATAACCTCGCTAACTAGATTATTCTATATCATATCGTAGAGTCATCCTTAATCAGTAATTGAATGATACGTCTCATGGGCCTGCAGTGCAAAGTTGGGTATAGAAGCACCGCATACATGGCATTCGCTACAAGACGTCCCCGTATCCATCACAGAATCCCCATCGTCCTCCCATATCTCATCAGCTGCCGGCTCCTCCAACTCCTGTCCGTCTTGCATGCCGGCCCCCTCATGACAGGCAGTATCAACATCCGTGTCATGAATCCTCCATTCCCGAAGGACTTGATTCTGCGATTTGAACATCTTCTCTATGTCTCGACCAGCGCTGTTCTTCGTTGACCCTGCACTATCCACCATATTGGTCACAGCAACATTCATCAAACTGATGCGCCAGCCCGACTTCTCGGGGTGGAGTTTCTTGAAGGTCGGTACGAGACTTTCATGGACCAGGCGTTCAGCTATGGCGTTCACATCCTCGTGGAAGGAGAAGATAAATTGTGGTACTGGGCAAGACCTGGAGATGCGGTTATTATATAGAGACTGGGCCTGATTTGTGCTGCTAGGAGGGACCCGAGACCGTGTAGATAGCCGCAGCGTTCGTGGATGTGCTAGCCATCGTCGTTTTCTCTCTGGCAGCGCAGAAACATGATCCTTTGCGTTGTCCTCTTCATCATGGTCTGTTAGGTCAGTGTGCATCCGTCGTATCAAGCTACTTGCCAGTGGAAGCATTTCTTTCTTCACAGCATCCAGTGTGTCCAGCTGACGGAATGAATCTTCAATGCTAATCTGCGTGGGGACCATACGAGCTGCTGCAACTTCACTAAGGTCAACACCATTAATCAACTCCCATATTTTACTTCCAATGTCCTTTGGCCATCCTCCACCTGATAGTATCTTATCCAGCATCAGAGGACCCATGCCAGGAAAGGTTCGTACAGCACCAACAGTCACTTTGTCATCCTCCCTCAGCTCTCTGTACAGCTCCAAGTCATTTTCACGGCCAAGTACTACCGCTCTTATGCGGCTAGCGATTTTGAATCCAATGCCTGGGACTTTACCTATTTCATGGCCATCCATAAACTGAGTGATATAATTATCACTCTGATCTGCATCATCCAAAAAGGGCGGTATAAGTGTTGTTTGGTTCCTTGGTTTGTGGACGTTACCAGCTAACTTTGAGAGAAGCTTGGAAGTAGATATCCCAACTGTGCTAGTATAGCCATGTTTCTCCTCTAGTTGTCTCCGTATATAATTGGCCAGATGCGAGGCGAGAATTAATCTCTGTCCAAGATCTGAAGGCGATGACCCGCGCGACGGCTGTAACTTGTCATCCAACGGAGGATATGTTGGGCCACAATATACCGTTGGATCATACTCAAAGCCAACAGTAAAGTCATCCTTATCCAGCAGGAAGAAAGAATTCTTGACATTAGGCGCTAGCCACTGGAGATTGTATTCTATCATCGAGGTGACATCCAGAAACACCTCATCAAACCCCAGTCTTTCGGCTTGATCACCCCAGATGAGTGATTTCAGGAAGGAGTAGAGACCCTTGGACACATCACGGAACTTAGTCAAGTCCTCGCCAAGTACAACGACAACCTCAGGACATATCCTTTTGGCATCCTTGATAAGTTGTAGTTTCCGCAACCCTCTCCGCCGCGCTTCATAGTTGCAGGTCACTACAATCTGCTTCTGTTGCACAGCTAGCGGTAGAGTCTTGAGAGCGGGATTTTCTGCTTCAAAGACTGAGGCATAGAAACAATCGTAGTCCTAGGTTCAATGCGTTAACAAGCGGTCAAGGTTGTCCGGGAACGGGAATATAAAATCTCCACGGGAAAGATTCATGTCTCGGAAAAAGGAGGAACAAATAGGGAATGCTGGAATGAATTTGCGTCTGCTGGGTATAAGAGGATATGCAGATATAAGGTCCACCGGGAGGCATGATAGAAAAGTCTTGTTCTCACTACCCGGCAACCTCTTGCAGCAATGCAGAGTTATGGGGAGTAATACACAGTTGTGACACCTCCTTTTCCTTGGCCAAGGTGATGAATAGACGTAAAC